ACTGTGATTCACAAAATGAGATATATTTCCATATCGAGCTGCATCCACTGTGAATTCATCAGATTCATAGTCTAAATCAAAGAGATACGTGATTCCTTTGTTGTCATATAACTGGCCCCGTCTTTCAGCTTCTTCACTTGTGATTACCTGAAAGAAAAAAACTACAATATATAAGGTGTTTAGATATTGCTAAACGGATGAAACATTCATCTGTAAATCTGCAAAGCAATGGAAAACCAACAAACTTGGCAGACAATTTGCCAAAGCTCACTCATGTATCGATGCCTACGAATGTTAAGTAGGTGGGAGATTCAAGTGTTACCATCAAAGCACACTTTCACACTATTCTAGAAGAGTTAGTTGGCAAGAGGTGGGACAGTGAATGGAGAAGAAATGATGGGGCACAAAAATGACAACTTTTCAAACAGGATTTGAGACAGTCCAACAATAGACAAGCTAAACCATTTCACGGCTGTCATTATAATTTATTAAGATGTTCAAAGAGCCAAACAACTATAGACCTATAGGACATCATTAAGTGCAAAATTAAATTTACATGTCTATGTCCTAAATATGCTCTCAAAGTATATTTTTGTGTCTAATTACAAATGGAAATTTGTTCCAAAAAAGGGGAAAGATTATGTTAAATTTGCATTTGATTGTGAAAGGCTTAAGTTTTGTGGAGTTTTCATAAAACTATATAGTTCAATACCATCATCAAAGGCTCATCTTAAGAATACCACCATCAAAGGCTCAGCTCAAGAAGCCAAAAAATGGCTCAAGTGACTCATGGTGTCAAGGAAATTTGGCTGTTATATTAATTAAGCCTATTTGATTGTACTAGTATCAATAGCAATTTATCATAATCTGCCACTCTTTGAAAACTGCTATTAAAACAAACACGTAATCTAGTTTCAGAATTGTAGATAAATACTGATAAGTAGAGATGCTGGAATTCCAAATAACTAAAACCCATCAGATTGGACCACTCCAGCTGTGCAGTCACGTGTATAGACTTTCCCAGTCACAGCTGAATCCTCACTCAGGACGAGGCAATTTGGTGTGTGTCAAAAACATTGACTGGAATTTGGGTTTTGAATCTTGACTAAATTTTTACCATGAGACCTTGGGCAAGTTGCCTGATTCTCTGAGCCTGCGTCCTCACCTACAATAATGAAGATGCTAGTATTACATCACATAGAGTTGAAAAGATCAATGAGTTACATATGAAGTGCTTAGGAAAGTAATATAGCAAATACCATTTGTATAGTTATATAAATGTAGGCATATAGGCATATTTACATTATTTTTCTCTGTATAAAAATAAATTTGCTAGTATTTGTAAGGCAATTTAGAGACCGCTTTTCATGATTTAAAGTATCTGAGCTATTAGGATAGAGCTTGAATTTTCTGGTGAATAAAAAAAATGCTTTTAAAATACTTGCTTATGAAGCATTGATCCACTCTACATTATCTTTTGTGTTGACATAAAACGGTTTTGCCAACTATAATCAACTATTTGTCAAATGGAGGAGGAAAAAAAATTACAACTCAGAAGTTTCAATTAGAGCATCTATTTAGATCCAATTTTCACAGTGGCCCCACTTTAAAATACACAAATGCCAGTTTCACTGACTACGAAGGAATGCTTGCTAAAATACAGATCCATTTCATTCATCATCATAGATACCTTTTTGCTCATGCACTAGTTTATATTTTTAACTATGCCAGTGAACTCTTCTCACAAACTTGCAAGTGTATCTCCACATAACTGCAATTATAAAAATATAACACCATAAATGCTACTGGTGCAAAGAGGTTGTTTTTAAAACTTGCAAATTTTATATGCACACAATTTTCTATGTGCTGGGCTGGACATACCTCTCCAACATATTCCATGACAAAACTCATTCTTTTAATCTTCACCAGTGTTTTTACACCCCAGCCACAGCCATTGCTAGTTCGAAAGATGCAGAGAGAATGCTGGGTGCCTTTCTGTACAACCCTGTTTAGACAGTCCGGCCCGCACTGACACCTTGAGTTGCATTCATAGATGGGAGTGCCAGGGGGGATTTTAATCTGTTGGTTTTTATTGTATGCCAAGAGAACTCCAGCTTCAGCAGGACAACATTTTTCACAGAAACAATCTGTGCACGAACAACCAAAAGTAACTTCGTTAACTAAACTGATTCCAGGAGCTGGTTTGTATTCATTAATGTAGTAGAAGTCCGAAGGGGGGCCCTCTAAGTCAATGTTATTTTCCACAAAGATCAGTCCTTTATGACTCTTCCTTCTGTTGAGTTCATCTTGCCACCTTTGCAGAGCTATTCTTTGTTTAGCCTTCTTTACAATGTATTCAGCAATGGCAGGTTTCAAAGCTTTATTATTGTCTTTGAGAGTTATTGCTTTTCCTTTGTTCACCTGAGATAAAAAATTATGCTTGTCATTAGAGAATTGCTGAAGTAGTAATGGGCACTTGAGATTTTGCAAAGGTTCCCAAGTATTTGTAGAATCTGGCCATCCTTTCCATTTTACAAGATAATACTCCATGTCCTTAAAATACAAAAGAAAAGGCAAATCAGATTATGGTCGTCTCAATGATAGAAGTATCTTAAAGGCATTTATGATCATTTTTCTTAACACAATTCAGAATATGCAAAGAGTTATAGCTTGCTAGCTAACTACAAGTCATAAAAACAAAATTATTTTCCTCTCTATTATTTAAAATATGTACAGAAATTAGGTGTGGTACATACAACATGGCTAATAATAAGCCAGAAAGGATTATCTGGAGAAATAGATTAAAAAATACTGAAATTTATGAATATTTTAACTAAATGGTGACTAGGTTAAACGAAAAAGTATCTTGTTCATGGAAATAGGTGGTCCCAAGGCTAGCAATTCATGACTTAGACTAGTGGCTTACTTGGTATTTTCTAAGGTCTGTTTCTTAATATTATACACTAGCTGTAAGGGACGTTGCATTTCTTAACACCATGGACACACATTCCATAGATCCTCTAGAGATGTTCTGTTAAATATAGTTGCTACTAGCCACGTGTGATTACTGAGCACCTGAAATATGGGTAATTGCAATGTGCTCTAAGTACAAAAACAAATTTCAAAGACTAAGTACAAAAGGGGAGGGGGGTTGTAAAATGTCTCTAATGTTTTAAGAATGTTTAATGTGAAAAGGATAAGAATGAGTTTGGGCATGGAATATGCTAGAGAGGTATATGCAAGTTATCATGTAACTCACATAATAGTGAAATGATATTGTTTTGGGCATACTGCATTAAATTAACACTGCTTCACTTGTTTTAGTTCCTAGAAAACTTAAAATTGCACATATGGCTCATCTGTGCAATTTTCCACTAGACTGTTCTGGAGAAGGTATACTACCTAAATTGTACTCATTCCCGATAAGATTAGTAGGCAATCAATCAGTCTACCAAAGTAGAAGTCTTTTTTATTTATCCCTCAGGCTGCTGCTGGCCACCACGGTACTTAGAAATCTTGTCACTTCACTCCATTGACTTGACCTTTCTTTTGATGAAGGTAATTAAATACATATAAGAGAAAATTCTAAAGTATAATCCCTCCATTTCACAAATTTTGTTTCTCTGGAATAATAACTAAAGATGTGGCCTCATGCTGTGAGGTAAAACAAGACTATAAAATGCCTCCTGATATAGTAAAGTGATTAAACTGCATCCTATAGTTTTTAGTTATCATTATAATTCATAAATACTGATTAAAACATATTAGTTAGGATACATTCTGCTGTTCTCTGAAAAAATAACTATTATAAACTATGGTGTCTGTGGGAGCATTTTAATATTCATAAAAGGCTTCTGAGTGATCTGGAAGGTCTAAGACGTGCTATTTGAAATACTGCTGAGGTACAAATTGGGATGAGGAACGCTGTGAGACAGCTGTGAGACAGCTCTACAGAAGCAAGTCACTTTGCTAGTAAGGGAGCTTATTTTGTCCCCCACTATTTGCATTTTAGGGGACCTTGGTGGGACAGTGATTAAGCACTCACTCACTCACCGCTAAGCTAAAGGCTGCTGGATTAAACCTGTCAGCCACTCCATTGGAAAAATGTGGCAGTCTGTTTCTGTATAGGGTTATAGTCTTGGAAACCCTATATGGCAATTCTATCTGTCCTATAAGTAGGTAGAAAATGGGTTGGGGATACGTTTTCTTTTTCTTCTTAAACGGAATCTTAACGTTCTTAATACAATCTAATGGGCCAACCAGTAATCCTTGTGACTCCAAACTTTGCTTCTTTGTGAAAATTTGTCAAAATATGCTCTCTCTGTTAAAAAAAGAGAAGTTAAATTATGGTGTCAGGATATATACAAAACTTTACTTTCATGGAAATATATATTGTGACTTCCAGGAAAAAAAATATCCTAGACATAATACATTCAAGTAACATTAAAGTAAAGGATTTCCCTTCTGAATGTCAGGTAATTATTATAATTGGGGGCAGCTGGTGGGGGAATCTGCACACCAATTATTTATTAACTTACCTACTCATTGCAACTAAGTCCATTGTGATTCAGTGACCCTGTAGGTCAGAGCTACAATTTCCTCTATCATTGTCCTGGTTATACTAAATGTTGCCAATAAACAAATACTGTATATAAGTCAGATTATTAAAAAGAACCCTCCAGAAAAACTACCAATCATCCTGCTTTTGAATTTTACCTCAATTAGTAAGATTTTTTTTCTCCAAAAATAAGTTATTCTAGTCTTTAATCTAGGATGAATCAGTTGCACTTTTAGTGCCTACGTTTTTAATACGTCCAACAAATAATATGTTAAATACTGGTACCTACACTTAATTTATGGGAGGCACTAGACATGCTTAAAAAACAGGAATTCCTTTGACAAAAATAGAAATATTAGTTTTTAAATTCTACTTGTAGACATGTTTGAATTTTATAAGCAATTTTTATCTTTTAATACCAAAAAAGGTATTTTTATTGTGAAAATGAGTTAATTTTACATACAAAATAACTTTGACTCAGGAAATACGTTCAATTAATGATACCTAAAATTCCAAATAAAAGTCGTCCTCTCCCAGATTGTAAGTATATGCTATTCTGATCTGTAATTAACTCTTGATGACCTACAGCAATGGAGTTCAGTTGTAAAAATGATCCTAGATCATTGTTATGTAATTTGGAATGGTTTTTCTTTCCTTCTTATAGACATTTCCCCACACTGTGTTTGACTTAGGTTAAATTCACATAAATATTTTAGGATCTGAAACAAGTATATGAACGTTCAGGCACTTATGGGTATGATGTATGTTAAGATATCATTAGCATTTCGGAGTTAAAATAATATCATTGGGGAAAGATGGCACTAATACGTGAAAAAGCAGTGTAAGGAAATAACGTTTAAAATGCCCAAGCAATTACAACAAATACCACTTAATTATAAAGAAAGAGGAAAATCAATATAAGCCAGACAATCAGAAAAAAGACACTAAGGAAGTATAGCAAAGAACATAGGAAAACTGATAATGTGTTGGGCTGGGAACACAACAGGAGGAAAAACACTAGCAGGAGATTTGAACTACTATTTGTGTGACGTATCTAGAAAACAAAGGAGTGTTGGTGCTGCATTGGTTAAAAAACTCAGCTGCTAACTGACAGGTCATCAGTTTGATCCTACTATCAGCTCAATGGGAGAGGGAGCCATCTGCATAATACTACATAAATACTACAGCCTTGAAAACCCTATGGGGCAGTTCTACCCTGTCCTATAGGGGCTCCCTGAGTCCACACAATGGCAAAGGATTTTTGGTTTTATTAAGAAAATAATGAAGAGATGGATTTGAGTGACTTTAAAGTTTGGAATGTTGAAGTGAGAGTAAAACAGTAATGGAAAGGCAAGACCAGCTTTTAGATAGCTTTGAACACTACTTGGCTAAGGTATCTGAGCTTTATTACAGGGAAGTAGTTCTTACAATTCTTAGAAACCGTGGTGTTTCTGTGGGTCGTATCATTAATTACAAACATATTTTACTCGTTTGTTCATTAGGAACAATTATACCAATCTTCCAGAGGTCAAACCAAAGAACTCTTCAGTCCTGACTTACTTGGCGTCCTGGAGCATCAACCACTGCTGCCCTTACATAAGGAGATCTCTCCACATTCTGGTTCCTTTTCCTCCTCTGCTGAGATTGCTTCGCTGGCCATCGCTGAGTGCAGACAACTGCAGCTCTGTCCTTGGGCCTTTTTTTCACATTAAATAGGGTTCATCTCTTTTGAGATCTCTATGGACCCTCTCACAAATACCACACACACAGTATTTTGGAAAACTCCAAATAACTAGATTCCAGGCTAGGACTTCTAGCCTTGAATGTTCTGAGGAACCTCGGTACTGCTGGCTCCCCAAATTTTATCTGTAGTCCCACATATCCGACAGTCTACTAGCTAACTACATGCACACCCAAGAGATTCTCCCAGCAATCTACCTCATTAAGGGACACATCCCAGTATGTCCTCTCCATATTGCCGTTATGGTGACTAGTACCTCTTTCTAGACATACAAACCCCAAACTGGGAAGCTACTTTTGATTACTTCTCATCAGTGAATTTCTTTAGATTCGTCTTCCTGTCGATCTCTATTATTATAGCTTTAATTACTCCAGGTTCTTCATCTTTGCCTGAATCATTATACTAATTTTCCAAATGATCGGAATTTCCTGCCTCAAACTGACAACACTCAAGTTTACCACTTACTAAAGCACAGAATTTTCTTATAGAAGTAAACACTACTCAGAATCAGTTATTTCCCCATTTAAAAAGTTGTTGATGGATTCCCATTCCATTTATTTTGAAAAAAATAAAGTTCAAAGTTATCAGCAAAAGGGTCTGTCTTGGTTTTGTTGCTGGCTCAATCTCCCATTAGGCCCTCAATCTCAGTGCCCTCTAGTCATCTGGCATGGTGGTGAGTTCTAGAACATGCCAGGCCGTCTACCTTTTTGGGTTTTTTTGTTTGTTTTTGTTTTTTAAACCTTTTATTAGGGGCTCATACAACTGTTATCGCAATCCATACACACATCAATTGTGTAAAGCGCATTTGTACATCATTCTCAAAACATTTTCTCTCCACTTAAACCCCCGACATTAGGTCCTCATTTTTCCCCTCCCTCCCCGCTCCCCCCTCCCTCATGAGCCCTTGATAGTTTATAAATTGGTATTTTGTCATATCTTGCCCTGTCCGACGTCTCCCTTCACCCACTTTTTGGTTGTCTGTCCCCCAGGGAGGAGGTCACATATAGTTCCTTGTAATCGGTTCCCTCTTTCCTACCCATTCTCCCTTTACCCTCCCTGTTTCGCCACTCACACCACTGGTCCTGTAGGGCTCATCCACCCTGGATTTTCAGTTCCTATCTGTACCAGTGTACATCCTCTGGTCTAGCCTGACTTGCAAGGTCGAATTCGAGTCATGGTAGTGGGAGCGGGGGTCATGGTAGTGGGAGCGAGGCGTCTACCTTTTTGTTGACAAAGCTTTTTCTAATTAGAAAC